AGAGAGAGAGAGAGAGAGAGAGAGAACAACACATATTACATAACCAAGGATTTCATTAGTGAAGTTTCAATTATAGACATGAAATTTAGTCACAGAATCTGCTCAATCAAAACCACATGAAAGCAGAGCAAGAGTGAATACATTACATCAGAACTAAGGCTTAAAAGTATTCAGATTTTATTCATTATATTGCAGTTGAGACATAACCCATAAACCACATTTTCATTTTGCTGCATACTATCAGTAGCCACAATTAGTTGTCATGTTAACTCAACCACAACCCAAAAGATCTCCCATTCATCATCAAAATAAACAATGAAGAGAATTTACATTGTAATTCGATTTTAGATTGTCTTTAAGGAAAAGACCACCCCATATAGATGATAAATCAATAAAATTGGTACTCTGAGAAAACATGAATAAAAAATTTGTTCAATTTTGTTAAAATGCCAACACTTATGGCATACAGTTACAAAATTATCTCAAACATCAAACAGCAATTATATAATAGCTTGATTCAGGAAAGTTGGAAAGACTACGATATACTGCCGAAACGAGAGAAAAGTTCAATAGAAAATGCCCCTAAACATACAAGAACATAAAGCTTACCACCAAAGGGTGAATGATCTCACCATGTCCCTGCTCTTAGGCCACTGAACAGGAACTTTGTAACCCTGAGGCATAGGATATAAACACCTCGGGGCCGGGTCAGGGCAATGCCTCTCTCTATGTTCCATGCGCTTACGAGACTTCAAAGCTTTTATAGCCTTCTGATTGTCTAGACATGGTATATAATCGACAGCCAGGGGCCCATCACACAGCTCCCACTCCACATCTTCAACCTGATTATCATCAAGCGCAGCTGACGAATTATCCATGGTGTCGCCATGTGCGTTGCTGCTGATATTGGCAACCGCCGGCTCGGTGGTCGACGAAATGGGTGGCGGCGTGGAAACCGGAGTGAGTTTCAGATCGGATGAGAAGGGGCCGGGCTGGGCGAGATTGGCGGAGATGGGGATGGCGGACTGGGAGTTAGAAATGAGGATGAACGTGACGGAGACGAGCAGAAGGAAGAAGACAACTATGAAAGGGTATTTTTTCTCTCTCAAGATGGAGGGCATCGACATCTCCACATCCATCTCCGAGTGCGGCGGCGAGTTTCAGAAGCGCTGGTTTTGGATCTCCAGCTCTTAAATGAATGATTGAAGCCTGAAAAAAAAAATAGAAGACTTCAGAAAATGGGAGAACGTCGTTGATCTTGAAAAATGGAAGTGTGAATTATTGACTAATCGTTTTCGAAGACGTGAACATGATGGGTTGGTCAGTGCTACTACCGTGTGCCTTGGCACACCTAGCAAGGTGTGCCAAGGCAGTTTAAAATGAACATGTTTCATTACAAAATGAACATGTGTAAACATATTTACACATGTTCATTTTATAATGAAACATGTTCATTTTAAAAAAGCTTTGGCACACCTTGCTAGGTGTGCCAAGGCACACATAATTATTTGCGATGGGCTGGTGGGCACCACGGGTAAAAAGTGGAATGAATATCTAGTTAGCCGTGGGCAAAAAAATTCGAATTTACCACTATCAAACCGGACCAACACGGGCCCATTCCAAATATTAGGATTCCAAACAGTTTTTTTTTTTTTTTTTTTT